GAAAGTCTAAGATATGACATGATGTACATTAGACACTGAGACATCAAATGGTAAATGAAACAGACTTAATTCCTACTCACCTAAATTATTTGGAGTTCTTACAGGTTTAATTTTGTCCCCCTAGAAATTCATATGTTATAGTCCCAGCTCTTAATAACGCAGAATGTGACCTTATTTGGTGATGGAATCACCATGAAGCTAAAATGAAGTCATTAGAGTGAGGCTTAATCCATTATGACTGGTGTCTTTATCAGAGGAAGACACTCAGAGACACATCTCTGGGAGAAGACTATGTGCAGATGAAAGCAGAGATAAGAGCGCACTTGTATAAGCAAAAAAAAAAAAAACCCTAAAAAACAAAAAAAGGTCAACCACCATAAGCTGGGGAGAGGCCCAAAGAGTTCCTCCCACACAGGCCTCAGCCAGAAGCAACCCTGCCCACACCTTGCTCTGGGACTCACCTCTGTACATAACTGTGAGGCAACGCATTTCTGCTGTTTAAGCCAACTCCTTCATTACAGAAGCCACAGCAAATTAAATACAAATGGCTGCTATGAAATAGTATCACTTAAAAATAAGGAATTCATGAAAAATGAGGATAAGCTTAGTTTATTTCCATTCTACTCTCTGAGGAATCCAGTTGCCAACAAACATGGTGGGCTTCTGTCCTTCCCAACAGTGAGGAATGAAGAACCCAAGACACAGCCCTGCCCAGCTGCCTCTGAAGCAACTGCAGCAAGAACAACCCCAAGAGAACTCCTCAGGATCTTGAGGAGTAAAGATTATTTGAATAAGAAACATGAGGAGGAAAGACCATTCTGAAAGCTTCTTGACTTATCTTGCCAATTTATTGTCTCAAACGTTTTCGAGAAAGCTTGGCTAGCTTCAAGGATACAGCATTTCTAAATCAGTATTTTTTTCACTTAAATTTTAAGCCTATCTAGGCTATTTATGAACTCTGTGATCTTGGACAAGTCTTGTCTCCTCTCTGGACCTCAGTTCATCTATTTGGAAAATGGGAATTTTGAGTATCTGGGTGCTCATCTGCTACTCTCTTCAGCTCAGCATTTGCAACTTGCCAATCACTGGTGCTGAATAGTCTGTGTAAGAATACTAATAGTTAAGATGTGAGTGCCCACTTTCACCAAGTTGTCTGTGCTACATTCTTAAATTAATACATTGTCTGGGTAACTTTTATAAGAAAAGTAAAAGCAAATGTCTTGATTATTTTGAAATCTCTCCATGTATCTAGACTCAGTGGAACAAAAGCAGCTGTTGTCACCAGAAAGCAAACCACTGTTTTCGGCAAAGTAGAGGGTGTCTCTAACATGGGTAGCCAGATCTGACCTGTGTGCTAAATGCACACAGAGGCAAACAGCCCTATGCAGTGAATGGGCTTGTGTTGCCTATTAGAAATCTCTCTTGAACAATCTTATGGAGAGCATTGACCAAAAGCCACTGGTATATAAGAAATACAATGTGTGATGTAATCACTGCTGATAAGTCCCCCCAGCCCAGACATAAGACTCCTAGAATACATTTCATATGAAAAATTGTCCCTAGAGTGCGGAAGTTTAGCCCATCATGGAAGCTTCTGGGTGTTAACGGAAGTAGAGGCCATGGACAGTCTGTAACTTCTTGGAGGAGGAGCTCACTAGAATTCCACCACTGGCCTAGGGAACCAAAATGGCCAGAGATGCCCCACAGCAGCTGCCTGTTCAAGGAGAGAATGTAATGGGCCCTAAAAGAAGGCCCCTTGAGTCTCTGCTGTAGAAATAAGGGAGACTGAGAAGAAATGTTGGGCCCAAGTGCAGCTTTTCAGTCACACATTTTTAACCTTCTCTTTGTGATAAAAGTACATCTAAAAATCACACAAGTGACAGTACTTTTAAAAATGAATCTAAGAAATATTTTTTTAAACCGGGAATGGTAGCACATTCCCATAAGTCCCAGTGCTCTAGGAGGCTGAAGGAAAGATTGCAAGTGTGAGCCAAGCCTGGGTGGCTCAGCAGGACTTTGTCTCAAAAATAAAAAATTTTAAAAAGAGCTGAAATGTACAAAAGTACCAGATTTGGTCCCCACTACCACCAAAAACTTAATATTTTTATTAAGCTAAAATAAAAACTTCAGTGTATATTCTCTTGCAAGAAAAGACCAATACTGGTTAAATTTGCATCTGTTGTTCATTATTGTGTGGTGCTGTTTACTTGTCTCTACCAACTAGTAAGTTTGTCTTAAATTTATCATTCTATACTCAAGGTAGAGGGGGTAATTGAAGCTAAAAATTCTTAGTAGCTAGGGCTGAAAGGAAAATTCTAGAGAATCCTGTCTGATTCCCAACCTTTACATCAAGGATACTGAGGTGTGGAAAGAAACTAAGTGATATGCCAAGATTGTAGTTGGTCACAGGCAGAGCTGCAGGAAAACCCAGAGCCTCTGACCCCAGGTCAGTGAGCAACTTCTAGAGGTCCTCAACCTCTTCTCCACAGTCCTCCGTGACTCTCCATGTGCCTGGCTTTTTATTTCTATCTTTTTTGCTTGACAGCTGGGGGCTGATCCCCTGCAAAAGGAAACATCTTTAAAGTTATGTATTCAACTGGATTTCAACCTGCCAAAGATTAAAACTAGACCCTTATCTTTCACTGTGCACTAAACTAAAATCCAAGTGGATTAAAGATCTAAATATTAAAAAAGAAACACTAAACTTGCTGGAAGATAAGTTAGGCACAACTCTTGAAGACATTGGCATAGGAAAAGAGTTTATGAACAAATCCTCAGTAGCACGGGAACTAGCAGAAAGAATCAACAATTGGGATCTCATCTTATTAAAAAGCTTCTGCACTGCAAAAGAAACCATCAACAGAACTAAAAGACAACCTACAATGTGGGAAAAAAATTTTACCAGCTGCTCCTCAGACAAAGGACTATTATCTAGAATATATAAAGAACTCAAAACAGCCCCCCCCAATATAAAGACCCAATTCAAAAATGGGCATCTGAAATGAACAGACATTTCCCAGACAAAGAAGTAAAAGCAGCAAGTAAATATATGAAAAGATGTTCCACATCACTGGTCATTCAAGAGATGCAGATGAAAACAACACTGAGATTCCACCTCACCCCACAAAGAATGGCTGCTATCAAGAAATCACACAATAACAAATGTTGGAGGGGATGTGGGGAGAACGGAACCCCTCTGCGTTGTTGGTGGGAGTGCAGACTGGTGCAACCACTATGAAAATCAATAAGGAGATACCTCAAAAAGCTGAGACTAGAGATTCCGTTTGACCAAGCCATCCCTCTGTTGGGTATCTTTCCAAAAGAATTAAAAGAATCAAATCACAGTGATATATGCACATCTATGTTTATAGTGGCACAGTTTGTAATAGCTAAAACTTGGAAACAGCCCATTTACCCATCAGTTGGAAACTGGATAAAGAAGATGTGGTTTTTCTATAAAATGGAATACTACTGAGCCATAAAGAATGAGAAATTAGATTCATTCATAGGAAAATGGATACGTATTGCGGATATACTCCTAAGTGAAATAAATAAGTCATACATATGTAAATACCAAATAGTTTCTCTGGTGTGAAAAACTATGATAGTACATAAGATCCTAATGAGATAATTGACAATGTGAAATAGGAAGAAAAGGGCTAAATGTGTAGGGAAAGTGGGAGGGGTAGGGGAAAGTTAATAAGGGTAAAGAAAAAATATGAGAAAATGAAAAAATGGAAATAAACTGTTTGTAAATGGAGAGAGTAGGGTGCTCACTTTGGCAGCATATATACTAAAATGGGGAGAGTAGAAAGAGGTGAAGGGAGGGCAGGCACAGGGGGAAAACTGAGAACCAAGACCTGTCATGTAAAGGTACAGGATCCCAATGATGAATGTAACTGTACTGTGTACCTAAAATGTACCAATAAACTCAATGAGAGAAGAAAAAAATAAAGTTATGTTTTCAAATCCAGAACCATCATTTTATGTTCCCAGGCTCATAACAAGACTTTGTCACTGACTGATACAACTGAACAACTTGAATCCCATCTACAAAACTCTATTCCTTAATGTCCCTTCTCCTGCCTTCTAAGGGAAGAGAGGGAATGCTCAGGAAGAAGAACAAAGATTCTATGTATACAGGAAAACACAGGATCCATCCCCTGGTCATCAAGGCCTGGCTGGAGCAGAGGAGAAGGTTGAGAACAGTGGTAAGGACACAGGCACCACTGAAGGGTCTCCCAGGTAGACAGCAGTTTCTCAAGGCGTGGACTGAAGGTCTAACCTCTACGAGTAAATCACTCAGATCAGTGGAGGTGGTGGGAGATCAGAGATGAGGCCGCTCTCATGTCTGGCCCATCACACTTTGTTGTTCTGTTCAGTAGACACTGATCATGTGAAGATTTTATGTCCTCAGTTCCAGCTCTTGAGCTATGACCCCAAAGTCCATGCCACACTCATGTAGTTTGGAGGAGGTAGTGATTTGAATCCATAGGCTGTGAGTCAATTTTGAAGGAGTAGATCACTTTGCTCATCAAGTTTGGGTCTTGTGAAACACTCAGCTTACATGCTTCACTGGGGCCTTAGTATTTTTCTCCCAACTCAATTTGTAACATGCAATTAGAGTAGAATGTTAGAATGTACACATTAGAATGGTACCTATATGTGTGAGGATCTCAAGAGGTCTGAATAGTAAGTATTTTCCCCAAATAATAAAGATACACAGCACAAATCCTCTCCCTATGGAATCCTTCCAAGAACAAGTTGAAGACTTAATACAGCAAAATCTTTTGTACTACTTGTCTTGAAGTTGTTTTCTCATTTTCTTAGCAGTTTACTTGCTGCCTCAAACCTCCTCTTAGTTTTTAGCTCTATTTCTTCTCTTTCAATTTTGCACCCCTCTCTCTGACTCTCTTTCTCTCTCTGTCTCTGTCTCACTCTCTCCCTCCCCTCTATCTGTCTGTCTGTCTATCTGTCCCTCCCTCTCTCTCTCTTCACAGATGTGGTGGTGGATTCAGATGCACGAGGTATGCAGAAGTAGGCAACGTCCTCACTGCCATGAAATCCTAGTTTCTGCTGAGCTCCATCTAAATAGAAGCACCCTAGGACAAAAATTGTAAGTGTATCCAGCAACTTGGCAAGGAATTAGCAGAAACCCAACATCATGAAGACTGCAGGGTCTGTGGCAGTGGCGATAGGAGTCACAAAATAGACTTAGCATCGAGGCCAGAGAGTGGAGGGAAGCAGTTCTCAGATGAACACTCAGATGACTTCTGCAGTCTTACTGAATTCAGTTCAGCACCCCAGGAGCTTTTGTGACAGACAGAGGCAGTGTGTCTATGTATTTTGCGATGTCTCTATGTATTTTCAGCCTTTTGCAGAATGGTAACTAGGGGCGCTTTGGGCCCAGTGACTAGAAGAACCCTGAGCTGAGTCTGTTGGAGCAGCTGTGATGGCTGCAGCCCTGCTCAGGTGGAGTCAGCCAGGGGCAGGCTGGAAGCAGAGTCTTACTGGGGAGGCTGTGGGTGCCTGGAGGCACAGCTCTGTGGAGCGGAAAGCAGGGATTCCAGTCAGGGTAGCAAGAGAACCCAAGGAGGCCATGGTCCAGAGGCCAATGCAGAGTGATGGGAGAAAGGCTGCCATAGAGGATTGTCTTAGGATATTCAGGCGCTCTACCAAAGGGAAGAGACTGATCTTGAAAGGGGCCTGGAATCCTCTAGTCAAGAAGGTGGAAAGATCCAGCATACCACGGGACTAGATAGTATTATGATCTCATTTTTCTTCAGATTCATGAGGATAAATTAATATCAAGTTTATCCATATAAAAAAGAGTTAATACAACCTCTCAAACTTTCACAGAAAAGAAATTTTCTCAATTTCTCTGTAAGCCACCGTTCACAATTTGGCATAAATATGACCATCAAAGAAGTAAATCATAAAAACAACAGGGGTGCAGTATGGAGGAGCTCATATGTAATCAGCACTCTGGGAGGCTGAGGCAGGGGGATCACAAGTTTGAACCCAGCTTGGGTAACCTAGTGACAGTGAAGAACCTGTCTCCAAATAAAAGAATAATAAAAATGGTTGGGGATATACTCAGTGGGAAAGCCCTAAATTCAATCCCCAATACTGCACCCCCAAGTAGTTATGTAAATCTTTGTGGGTACCATGAAAAATGCACTTTCTGCAGGCTAGTGATGCTCAGAATACTATCAAAAGGGATTTAAAGATTGGGCAATGTGTGGGGTGCAGTGTTTTCACTTTCTTCCCATTTAATATATGAACAGTAATCTCCTCGTATCCCCAGTGAATGCTCAAAACCGCATGTCCCCAAGTCCTACATGCACTGTGCGTTCTCCTATACATACTACACCTATACATGATTTAGATCTGAAATGTCTTGCCAGTCTTATTTTCTCAGAGGTGGGCTTTTGGAAGGTGTTTCACTCACGAGAGTAAATCTGTTGATGTGTTCATAGCTAACGGTGCTTTCAGGGGGTGAGAGCCCACTGGAGGAGGGATCACTGGAGGTGTGGCCTAGAAGGGTGGATTCCTGTCCTGGCTGCTCCCTTCCCCCTTTCTTTCCACTTGTTGGCTGCCACGTGGTGAGCGACTGTCCTCTGTCCAGTCCATCATTCCATATCTACCTCGGAGCCAGCTAAGGGCCTGAGCCCTTAAAACCATGAGCCAAATAAACCACGCCTTCTTTAAATTGCAGGTGTCAGGTACTTTGTCCTAGTGAGGGAAAAGTGATTAATACCCACGCATACTTATGATAAAGTTTAATTTGTATATTAGGCACAGGAAGAGACTAACATATATCTAATGACTAAATTGGTGTATCGCAACAATATACGTGTACTATAATAAAAGTTATTTAAACTTTAGGAATTGTTTATTTCTGGAATTTACCATTCAGTGTTTCCAGCTTAACCATGGGGAACAGCAGCTGTGGAGAAGGAGGCCAGCAGATAAAGAAGAACTGTTAAGTGTAGATGCAGATGCAGCAGACACTGGCTTTGCTTCTAGCTCACGTAGCCCGTGCACTGTGGAGCAGACCTGGGTGCAGAGCTGACCTTGAGACTTTCAGCAGGGTGATGTCACCTAAGTGCTGTAGATTCCACATATGGCCTTCTAGCGACACAGCAGAACACTGTCCTGTGAGGGGAAAGCAAGAGACAAAGGCCGATTCCCTCACAATAAGGCTCAGGGGGTTGACAAAACTGTCTTTGTACATGTACCATAAAAATCACAAATGCTAGCTGGGCATGGTGGTGCATGCCTGTGATCCCAACGCTATGGGAGGCTGAGGCAGGGCGATCACAAATTCAAACCCAGCCTGGCAACGCAGCAACCTAGTGAGACCCTGTCTCAAAATAAAACACAAAAAGGACAGGAGGTGCAGCTCAGTATGAAGGCCCAGAATTCAATCCCCAGAACCACAAAATAAAATAAAGCAAACACTTGTTGCACAAAAAAGAAAAAATTTAGAGTACTAAAACATCTAAATGTAAAATAAAAGATCTCAGTTTTCCAGTACTCTCCCTTCCCAAAGTAGATAATCCAGACCCCATGTGGACACTGTTTAAAAATGTGGTATGTATGGTTCTTTTCCAAGTACACAAAAGAACACACACACATACACACAGCAAAAAAATGTAATCATACCAAACATATGTAGGCATCTTGCTGCTTTCAATCCTATGAGTGGGATAGCTTGCTGGGTCAGCACCTAGGAGTCTCTCTCTCTCTCTCTCTCTCTCTCTCTCTCTCTCTCTCTCACACACACACACACACACACACACACATTTATTAATGGCTGTGTGGTTCATTCTTTCTATGTCTGGTCCCTATGTACTTAGCCTATCTTATACTAATAGACACTTCAGTTATTTTTTCTTTTTTTTTACTATTGCAGAGAATGCTGCCACAGGTATCTTCTAAAGACAACTTCAGATACTCATATGCTTTATTTCTATGAAGTTCCCCGACATGAAAATGCTGGATCAAAGGAGCCTAGGCGCGTTTGTGCTACTATACTAAGACACCTGATATCAGTAGTTATGGTCTGCATGTTCATCTCCTCCAGAACTCAAGTTGAAATTAATTGCCGGCGTAATTGTGCCTGGAGGTGGGGCATTTAGGGGGTGATTAAGCCCCGAAGGCTCCGTGCTCCTGAGCGGGCTTACTAAAAGGGTTTCCAGTTCTCCTTCTCCCCACTCAGCCCCCTTCTACTCTCTCCGTGGGAGAAATAGTTTCTCCCTAGTGGAGGAGGAGGCGTTCGAGACACTGTCTTGGAAGCAGTAGGCAGGCTCTTACCAGGCACCAAACCTGTTTTTTCTTCATGTGGGATTTCCTAGCCTCCAGAACTGTGAAAAATAAAACTACATACCCACATAAAGTGGACTAAGATACTGACTAATTTATAGATAATACAAGTGTATTTCCCACAGCTGGAGAGACGGGAAGACCAAGAACAAGGTGTTGGCAGATTCAGTGTCAGGAGAGGGCTGTTTCTCCTCCGGGATGATACCTTCTTGCTATATTCCTTTGTTTGTTTGCTTGTTTGTTTGGTACTGGAGATCGAACTCGTTTGCGAGCCAGGCTCCGGAACTATTGAGCTAAATCCCCAGCCTTCTTGCTATATTCTTGCGTGGTAAAAGAGATGGAAGCGCCAGACGGCTCTCTGAGCCCTATCCACACTCAGGGGCCTTCGTGTCTGATCAGCACACTTCACAGCACCATCCACTGGGTCTTAGGTTCCGACATGAGCTTTGGACAGACAAAAAGCATTCAAACTGTAGCAAAAGGATAAGGTTGTATTTTTGGTCTTGATGAATATTTCCAAGAGGTTGTGCCACTTCGCACTCCCAGGAACGTGACTTTGCTGCGGTGTCATTGCTGCAGACGTCTGTACGGCCCGACTTGGCTCCTTGCTGTAAGGAGGACTGGAAGAACGCGGGTGCTCTGGGCCGCTGAAGATTCGGCAGCTGCGCACAGTTCCAGTTTGTCGATGGTAAAGGTGGTCCTGAGCAGTCCCAGGGCAGGAAGGAAGGGGTCTTCTGAGACATGATTCAGACAAGTGTTTTGTGCGACAAATGAACAGATGCTGTCTCCGGAGCCGCATCACCCTGCCCTCCTCCTCCAGGGAAGTGGGTGTGCGTCGGTCACGACAACAGATTCCCTAATGGAGAACATGCTCTTGTTGACTTAGGCTTGAAAGTCATAAATTCTTCCCTTCCAGAAGCTGGGAGAGGATATTTCAAACCATGTCCCCGCCTCCCTTGCTCCTGCTCAAATAGGGAAGTCTGGCTTGTGTGAGCTGTAGCACCGGGAAGAGGGATGGCCACCCTGAACCCTGTCCTTGGCAGACTTGTACTTGCCACACTGTCCTCTTGGCTGTCTTAGCAGCTCCGTACCCTGCAGCGGTGGATGTGGACGTGACCACAGCTCTGATAGTGCGTACCCATGGCTCTGGGTGGAGGGAGAACTGGTTTGGGCTCACGTTGGCTGTATTTCTAAGATGAGTCCTCAGTCTGACTCTCGGAAGGTAGTATTTTCATTGGCCCTTGTTTCTATTTGTTGATTGATACAGAAATACTCACAGGAAAGAAAGGCTTTCATTAATTGGCTGTCCTTAATCCACAACCTTCTTCAAAGCTCTGGGCTTACAGGAAACGAGAGATGAATCCAACTGTGGGAGCAGACAAATGCTGTTGGACCTCAAGGTCCCATTTACTTTTGCTTTAAGTAGCAGGGATGTGGTTGAGTGGGTTCTCACAAGCACATGCAGTTAGATAAGGCCCCTTTAACTTGACTGATTGATAGGATTTGGAGCTAGGAACATTCTGGAACATCAGTAGGCCTGTTAACAAGGAGGCAGAGACACCAGCAAAGACAAACCGCCAGTAAGAATTGTGCAACCAGGCACTTCTACACAGGCACAAATACACACACACACACACACACACACACACACACGCGGGTGGGGAAGTGAGACAGATTAGAAAAGGAGTGAAAACAGGGCTACATCTCTTGAGTTGTTAGGAATTTTTCTGATACAATGTCAAAGAGGATGAAATCAAAGAACAAATTACAGACTAATGCATTTACTTTAATTATATTCGAGTAAAAAAAACAAAAAGAATCTATCGATATGAAATGTGCCTTTGCATCTGTTCGAATGAGCGAGGGGAAAGCGAGGGAAGTATATAGCAGGTGTTGGCGCCCATAGCTCAGGGGGCTGGAATGAGAGGAAAAGCCGAAGGAGACGAGGAGCTCTTCCTTTGTGTGTCTCTGCACCACCTCAGATGGTGGCAATAAGCGCACATTACTTTTGTGATGTGGAATGAAATAAAAGAGCATAGATGAGAATAAAAAGGAAACATTTCAAATGAAAATGTGTCTGTCTGGGGAGTAGAAAGAGCAAAATGCAAAGAATACATTTATGTCAGCAAAAAATATTCATTCACATATATTTTAATATATGCATCAAGATGTCTTTTAGTATTGCTTGAAATATTTGCCATGATGTGTCTTTCATTTGGTGAAAAGATTAACTAAAATGCGGGGGGTGGTAGCTCTGACAATTCCTCTGATCTGAGGGTGACACATTGTATACATGTGCAGAAATGGCCGTGTACCCCATAAATATGTATAATTGCTCTGTGTCAATTAAAAATAAATATCCCTCTTCAGCTCTCTTTTTTAGGAATGGAGGCATTTCCCCCTTGATCTGTTAGTGTAGTTGCTTTGTTACAGTTCTTGTTTTTCTGGAATGATTGAGAATACAGACTTAGGAGTCAGGCTACCTGAATTCAAATTCCTGTCCTTTGATCTGAGTCGGGGCCAAGCTTTTCAACCTCTCCACATTTCAGTTTTTCTTATCTGTAAAATAGGAATAATAATAATCATCTATGCCTTGTAGAAGTATTATGAGGATTCAATATATTGAGAAAGAAAAATCTTAAAATAACTTTTAGAACCTAAGTATTTCCTATGATTGTCATTCTTTTCACATTTAAAAGTGATGCATTAATACTTGTCACTGTTTTCATAAGTACTACATCTTATGAGTATCCACTAGATCCCAGATATCATTAGGCATTTTGCTTACCTTAAATCTAATTTTTCTTTAGAAATATGAGGTGGTATAAATTCCATAAGAAGGAAAATTGAGGCTCAAGGAAGTTAAGAGTCTGGCTTCAGTCCCTTCCTTATAAATTGGTATCGAGTCCAAATTTGTCTGCTTCTGAAATCCAAACTGTGTCTACCGCTATGCCCGCATTACTGAAGAAGCTTATACATATTTATACACAGAGATTCTTTGTTTTTGGTCCCTACTATCTTTAAACCAACCAAAGGAGAAGCCATGTTTTGTATCCTTGCTTAACATTTTCTCTCGCATGTGACTCACTGGCATTTGGTTCAGAAGTGCAGAGAAGCTTTACTTTATTTAGTCCTGTAATTTGAATTCTTATTGATTAAAAGAAAAATCTCACAATCCCCAAGTAGCAAAAGAACAAAGATGTTGGACTTCATCAAAATTAAGAACTTCAGTGACTGGGGATGTAGCTCAGTTGTAGAGAACATGTTTTGCATGCATGAGGTTTTGGTTCAGTCCCTAGCACTCTGGCCCTTTTTATTTGTTTTGTTTTGTTTGTACCAGGGATCGAACTCGAACTTGGGCCCTCACCCTTGCAAGGCAGGCGCCGGAACCACTGAGCTAAATCCCCGGCCCCCACTTCTACCTTCTTATTGCTGGTTGGTGCATCAAGTTTTATAAAAGTGAAAAGAATTTATCGAATAGGAGAAAATATTGCATATCATATATTTGATAAAGAATTAATATCCAGAAAGTATAAAGAAATCCTAAGAATCCAAATCACCTGCAACAAAAAAAAATGTAATTTTAAAAAGCAAAGGATTTGAGTGGACATTTGTTCAAAAATGATATACCAATTGCCAAGAAGTACATGTGCAAAAATACTAACCAAAGCCCCAGTGAGTTACCACTACAGAGTCCTCCTTTTTCTACATCATTGCCAGCAAGTGTTACTTTTTGTCTTTTTGATAAGTCATTTTAACTGGGGTGAAATGACAACTCATTGAAGTTTTGATTTACAATTACCTGATGATGTCAAACTTTAAAAAATAGATGTATTGGCCATTTGTATGTTCTGTATTGAGGAATGTCTATGAAGTCATTTACTTGTTTTTAAACTAGATTATTTGTTTTATTTTGTTTGAGCTTCTTAAATATTCTGAAATTTAATCTGTGCCAGATGAATAGTTTGCATATTTTTCTCACATTCTGTTGGTTATCCTGTCTTGCTGTGGATAAGCTCCTTTGCCATGCAGAAGCCTTTGCAGTTTTATGGAATCTTATTTGTGGGTATTTGCTTTTTTGCCTATGCTTTGGAGATTATATCCAAAAAACTTTTCCCAAACCAATGACCTGAAGCAATTCTCAATATCATCTTCTAGTAATTTCAGGGATTTGGGCCTACATTTACATTTTAAATCTATTTTGAGTGACTTTTGTGTATGGTGAAAGGGAGGGGTCTAGTTTCTTGCTTGCGTACGTGGATACTGTTTCCCCAGCACCATTTATTGAAGAGATTTTCCTTCCTCCAATATATATACCTTTTGCCCGTTCTGAAAAATCAATGGGCTGCAAATACCAGGTTTTATTTCTGGTTTCTCTTTTCTGTTTCAGTGGTCTATGTGTCTGTTTCCATGCCAGTGAGCCACAGTTTTGGTCATTGTAGCTTTGTAATATTTTTTTCCAGTCAGGTATTGTGATTCCTCCAGCTTCATTGTCCTTGGCAAGGACTACTTTGATTATTTGAGATCATTTGTGGTTTCACTTAAATTTTGTGATTTTTTTTTCTAGTTCTGTAGAGCATGTCACTAGTATTTTGATTGAAATCATATTGAATTTATAGATTTCTTTGGATAGTGTGGACATTTTAACACTGATATCTTCTAGCC